CGTCAAGTGCTCCTAGTTAAGGAGAGGGACATTAAGATGATTCAGAAAGCGCCTGCGTTAAAAGTTCTAATTTGTGGCAGCACTTCGTTGCGTTTCACCTATCAACAAATAGAGAGCTACTTCCGAAAGCGCAGGATGGGCGAGAATGTTTTTGCACGTTGGCAGTGGAACTTATCCGACGGGAATGGTATCATTGTGCTACCAGTCGAAACTCGGCGCTACGGAGACTTGTTAGAGACCTCTGGTGTAAGAGTTGGCTTTGATGACGCTGCTTATCTTGCGGAGAAAGCAGTACTCTCCGAAGAATGCAGTGCGTGACAAAAGTATGAAGATACTCCAAAATTTAACTCTACAGGAACACGTTCGGTATTCACAAGATGGGACCTACTCTAGTTAATTCCTCGGACACAGAAACCCCAGTATACTTTACTATGCAGCATCATGTGGACCACTTGCCATTTTTTTTGATATTGGAAAGGTTTCTATGTACCAAAAGTATGTGGACACCCAAGGAAAAAATAAAAATGTCCTTGAGATAAGAGACTGGTAGCTCCTAGCTTAGTTCATGTTAGTTTGGTCATTTCACCCGGCATTGTTGAACGAGGCACGCTGAACTGTGATCACCTGTCGTTTTTGGAATGACAACTTTGAGTAGAACAATCCACATTCTCTTTTTGCCTAAAACAACATCAGAATAGCCCGACTCGTCTCAAATAACTCTCGCTCCGTGGTCGAGAGACGCTTGAAATTGTTTGCCACCTCTATAATGCCACTTTTGGGCGCTCGCTTATAAACGCCGTCCACATAGAAGTAGCAAGATTTACGACAGCGGCATATCCTATAGTGTAAGAAAAAAAACCGTGATGCCTCATGGGCCACTGTTGCATACACTACACGTACACGAACAGTAAAACAACTTTATTAACAAAAAACATTAGCAAAAAAGAAATGAAAGGGGGAATTGGCCGCTCCTTGAGCGGGTCACAGCAGACTGTCCCGGAGCATTGGAGGGGGGGGGGGTGCGCCGATGAGATCATCCGCGCGGTGATCTCTTGAGCGGCGGTTCATCGGATTATCCGCGCGATGATCTCTTGACCTCATTCGGCATCCTCCCCGTCGGAGTGCCGACGTCCTCGGCGGCTTATAGAGTGGTGGCAGCATGGCGACATGAGCTGAAATCCTTGTATTTTCATGCGAAACATGCAAAATTCTCGCATTGTCTACTCCTATGTCTTTCCCAAGCACTGCCTGCATGTTTCTGGGGATCCCAGTTTTGCGAGTAGCTCTCCATCAATTTTTTTGGTGCCGATGGGAAAAACTGCTCTTTTCCGCCCGCTTGCGTCAGGGTCTCATCCAGTGTATTCCAATGCCATACATTTTTTACAACATTCAGTATTTTCTTGTGAACAGGATGTCCACGCGGATACTATTTTCCCGCCCTCTTCGAAATGTTGGCCACATGCGGCTGCTATCTCTGATACTACACTTTTCTCCCAGTGCGTGTCGACGGGCCAAACGAGTACCCATGTGCTGAACGAGCTCCACTCTTTCAGTGCGTCCTGGAGTGCTCTGAGTGTTTTTGCCGTCTGAATGCCTCCACGCATTCCGTTATATTCCAGCACGACTGCGCATTTCGGAGCAACATATCCTGTTGGACCTTTCTTAGCTGGAGATGATATTTTGGCTTCTTCGTTGAATGGTTTTTTAGGGCCTTCAAGGCATTATTATACATTCCTTCCACGCAGTAGTCGTCCACTGGGGAGTGTTTCTTGATACTGTTCGTTTCACACAGAAACTCGGTCCATTCAGTACATCTCTGGTAAGCGAATTTCAGCACGACTTTCAGTGCCCACTCGTCGAGACAGGATGACGCCTTGTCTGTAGGATTTATTTTTTTTGCTACATAGATGTCCTTACGACTGAAGATGCTGCATGCCTACCCATGCTTTCCACACGGTACCGATCTACTCGTTCGAAAACGCTCCGGGAAACGTCACTTCTGGGATTTCTGCTAACTTCGCGTTGAGGAGGCACTCGTCCAAGCATTGATGAAGCAGATGGCCTGGTTGAGAGCTCGTGACCAGCGTGGCGCCTCTGTAAAAATCAACCGTTACTTTGTTTGCTTGGATCAGGATATTTTTCTTTTCTCCTCTTTTCCTCTACTAACTGCGTCAACTCTTTCGTCTGGAATGAATGAGGGCACGACCCGTAACTGATCCGTCGGCATCTGTAGTGGCTCTTCGTTTTCTCCTATTCTCGTGATATGCTGAGTTATCACTTACCATGATAACTCTAAAGGGTCCCGACCAGTCGCATGATAGTTTTGGGTGATCTTTCTTACCTTTTTCAGCGGGACATTTTACGTACACTCTTTCGCCTACGTTGGGATGTTTCGTGGGGTCAACTTTGTGTTCTTTATTGCATATAATCTTGATGTATGCGCAGGTTCTCTCATTCTTTTCTCTTACTCTCTCGTGAATTCCTTGTATTCCTTGTATGGTTGTTTTGAAGTCGCCCATCGTTGTGTCAACTTGGTATTCTGATATTTCTTGACTTGGGATTACCTTTGAAGGGCCGTTAGGGTGTATGCCGTGTAATATGAAGCGAGGGCTTTCGCCGATGGAAGCTGTGTGGCGTGATATTATATGCCATCATGCAAAAGGGGAGCCTCTCGTCCCACTCCCTAGGAACTTTTGTTGTTCTTCTTAGCATTGCGAGTATGGTTCCGTTGTAACCTTCCCGTGATGCCATTTTCCCGATGGGTTATATCCTTTAGTGAAATGTGTTTGATATTCGCTATTTTCTCTATTTCCTCCATCATCTTGTTCTCAAACTCTCCACCTCGGTCTGATAGGATCATTTTGGGCCAGCGGCACCCGTCCGCTATCCATCTATGAAAAACCACCTTCGCTATGGTTTCAGAACTCTTGTCGGCTACTGGGTAGGCTGCCGCGAACTTGGAAAAGTGGTCTATAATGGTCACTGCGTAGCGGTTTCCGGATGTCGTCCGTCCCAATTCTAATACATCTACTCCGACGATGTCATATGGCCTGCTTGTGCGTATTGGTTTCAACGGTGGTACAGTCGTTTTTCTTGTGTTACTCACGAAGCACAATTGGCGCTCTGGACCATTTGTCTATGTCTTCTGTCATTTCAGGCCAAAACACTTGCCTTTTCAACCTATTCAGAACCTGGTTAGCATCAAAGTGTCCGGCTAGAATGCCTGCATGCGCTTCCATGAAGAAGTCACGACGCGCATTTTTGGGTACGACAAGGACTAAAGAACCGTCTTCGCGGAACATTTTCGCCGAGGTCTATCATAAAATCGGATACCTGGACTGTCCTCTTATCACATCTAGTTGAACCACTCCGTCGGTTCTACCTTCTTTCAGGAGTTTAATCAGTGGTGACCATTCATCTTCCTGTTCAAGCTCTTTCAACCATTTGGATTCTTCTGTTGCGTTGTGCATACCTGTTTCATGCATTCGTTTTGTAATATCATCTTTTTTTGGGTCTCCACCGCGTCTCGGCTCAGTGCGTGAGCCAGGATATTTGCTTTTCGATTAATGTATTGAATTTGCAGGTTGTATCGTTGAAGCTCGAGCGACCAACGCAGTATTCTTGCTGATACGTTCGTTCTTTTGAAGAGCGCTGTCAGGGGTAAATGGTCTGTCTTCACTATCGTGGGTGCTCCATAGATAAACATGTGGAATCGCCTCACAGCGAAAACCACACTCAAGACTTCCAAATCGGTTATGTGCTAGTTTCTTTCTGCCTTGCTCAGGCTTTTTGGTGAGAAGAAAATGGGTAAAGAAATTCATCCTCGTATTCTTGTGATAGTACAGCACCTATGCCTGTGCTCGATGCGTCTGTGAAAATGACAAAAGGGTGGTTTCCGCTCCAGACTTCCTCTAGTTTGACTGTTTCAGCACGTGAGCTGATGAAATCATATACTTCAAACGTGACATGCTTCGCTGTGTTCTTCATCCCAGTGCCATTTCGTTTTGGACGATGTTCATTGAAACAACGGTGATGCTGTTTTCGAAAAGTTCAAGCGGAACTTCCTATAGAATGACGTCATTCCCAGAGAGCTTCGTAGTTCTTTGGTTTTTTGGAATTGGGTGATTACATATCGCGTCAACTTTTCGTTTGTCCGTATGTACACCCTCATTATCAAGTACCTGCCCCAGGAAGAAAACACTTGATTGCAGTAGTACACAGTTTTTCTTTCAGTCGTAGGCCGCCTTCCCTCAGTCGTTTGCACACCTCTCGCAGTAGCTCTATGTGGCGTTCGCGCGTTCTTGTGCAGATTTTGACATCGTCAAGTGTAGCAGAAAACTTCTTGGCCAAGCACTTCTTTCAGTACCGTGTCGATAAATCTTTGGAATACAGATGGGCTAGTGCTGAGACCGAAGGGGTTACTTTGAATTGGTAAAGTCCTTCTGGCGAGTGAAGGCGGACTTGTGTTTCGTCTCTTCGTCCAGCGGTATTGCCACTAGCCGCTCATGTCTAACGTCGAGAAGTATTTCTTTCCCGCTAATACTTCCCAGTATTGCATCTATTGTAGGTAATGGATAGGAGTCTTGTTTGATGTTCTTATTAGAGCTCGCGGTAATCGACACATAACCTTATGTTCCCGTCTTTCTTCTCAACTAGAACGATGGGGAATGCCCAGTCTGAGCTGCTCTTCTCTATTATTTTCCTATCCTCTAAGTAGTGTAGCATCTCCTTTCATTTACGCCGTAGACTCAAAGTTACGGGTCGTGTCTTCAGTAAAGGGACGGGCCATGTCTTCAGTTTGATAGGTTTAGTATCTCCCGTGTCGATGTTCGTTTTGACCAAATTATTTTGGTTTAACTCCTTTTCACACATGGCGAACACGTCTTCCTCAATACATTTTTCTTGTCTGTTTTGTCGTATTTGTTCCTGCAGTAGTGTAGCTTTTGTTTCTCAGCCGAGCTCATGTTGGAATGTTCTCGGTCGAACATGTTGCAATCTTCTCACTTTGTTAACCATTTCTCAGTTCCCCATTCTCCCAGCTTCTCGCCTTTCCGTATTACCATGGGGTGATCGCCATTCTATGCAGGAACAGTTATTTCTTTATTTCGTACTCTGTATATTCCCCTGTTTGCACCCTCTTTACTTGCCCACATTACGCCTTCGTTGACCCTGTCCGCTACCGAAACTAGGCTTGAAGCAGTGTTTTTCTCTTTTTGCACCTTCTTCTGATGATTTTGTGATAATTTGGACTCAGGGTTTGCTGAGGGCGCTTGTACCCAGCAAGGTCTCGTCGCTTCCCTCCTTTGAGATATGACGCATTTTCATTGGAGTTGCCACCTTACAGTTTTACTCGGATTCGTACTATGCCTAAAGATGTCATCTGTTGTTTTGGGCTTTGTATACTGTTTCCATTTGATTGTGTTCTAAGGACTATGTCAAACCCTCTGTAATATGCTAGCAGTTGTATTGGGATTATACTTATCATTGAACCGGAATCTAGTGGTGCTTGTGCCGTCATTGCGAAAATGTCTACTTCTACGCTGTCTTTTCGTTCTATTGCTAGTCCCATCGAACGTACCTTTGATTATTGTTATGTGCGATTTTCTTTTGGGTTCCCTTACGCTTTCTGAGGTGTTACTGCTCACTAGGCTTACTCTTGGTTCTTTCAGGGTGCAGTTCCGGGCTATGTGGCCACATTTACCGCAGCTGTATCGAGAGTGTATGACGTTGTGACGGGAGTCATCGCTATATTTATTGGGCTCAGACCTTCTTCTTGAGCTCGGAGAGTAACCTACTCTTGTAAATGGTGCCCTGCTGGCTCCCACAATAGCGCTACCAGTGTCTTCTTTTTGCTTGTTGGTGTGGGTGTTTTGGATTTCTTCCGTGCGTCTTTCTCCCATTCGTCTGTTCAATGCTAATTGTCGATTCTTTTACCTTTTCGTGCGCGTATCTTGGCTCAACGTCATATGGCGCACTCAGAATTTGAAAATTTGAAATTTGGGCGGAGCTTGCCCTAAACCGCAGGATACTCATTTTAAAAGTTTGTAGCTCGGTTCCAGAACACTCCAGAAACCGGAAAAAAAGTGGATTAAGGTCAGCAAAGGGTCGCCGGTAAGAAATGTGAGGCACATGTTGTGGGCGGAGCCTGCCCGAGGTGGGCGGAGACAGACAAAAGTTCTGTAAAACACGGAAGTGGATGGTCAGGAGGGATCACTGTTTGATGCGGCACACAGCCGTTGTAGGCGGAGCGTGCGGCTAGGCGGCGGAGCCAAACGCAGAAATATAGAATGGTTCCATAACAGACTCCAGGCACCGGCAAAGACGAGCAAAAATGTGCAGGAGCTCCGCTATTGAAGCGAGATTTACGCGCCCATTCTGTGCGGAGCTGTGTCGATGTTGTGGGCGGGCGAAGGTCAAAAATTCACGAATTAGTTGCAGAGCAGCATAGGCACCGGGGACAGGTGGATTGAGGTCCACAAGGGGTCAGCGGACGAAGTGGAGGAGACATCTCAAAAATGGGCGGGCTGCTTTCGAGATGGGCAGGCTCTTGCTGAAAAATTTCGTGGTTCGCATCTGAGTGAGCTTGGAGATCAGGAAAAACTTTTGGTGAAGAGAAACATATGGCGAGAGTTCAGCATGTCTGTGGTGTGTTGAGACCCGCCCACAGTGGGTGGAGCGTGTTCTCATGCACGGGGTCCCTATTTTCACTGCGTTTTAGTGCATAGGTCGCCACACTTTTAACACCTGTCACACGAATATTTGATTCCAGTCGGTTCGCTGGCTGACGCCTGGCGCGATTCCTTTTCTAATAGGGCCAAACTTTGCCGGTTGCTTACTTCGTCGCGCCCTTCTGCTTGCATATGTTTGAATGCTCAAATACCTACCTAGTAGCAGGTTTCTCTCTCATCTGCGCATTTGATCAACGCTGCATTCATAGACGGTAATAGTGTCGAAAATAGTAGGTATGATGTTATTGCTCAAGGAGCGTTGACTATGTGTACAGGTGAAATAAAAGCCGGATAACTGTTGAGTATCCAGTGAGAAGGAGGTAAGCGCGGCGAAGCCGAGCCGTATGAAGGAGGCGCGCTGGCGTTAGCCGCTGATTACCCCTACAAACGAATTTTGGGCTAAAACAATTGTTTTGACCTTCTTGGGTTTGCTTATTGGGTTGTCCGGGGTCCGTAGCGTCAACGATACGTCATCGCTGTTACGAAGATGTGAGACTCCGCTCACACTGCCGACCAAATGGTCGGTCACCTACAACCCGAAAAAGTCAAAAAAATTTTTTGCTCAAAACTTGCGTCTAGGGGTAATCAGTAGTCCTGATCACGACTCTGACACTTATTCTTGGCGCAGTGCCATCTGGCACCGGCATAGCGCCGAAGAGCTGAGTCTGTGCATACTAACGAATTCGAACGAAAAAGCAGTTTTGCTCCATAAAAGTAGGATTGTTCAGTTTCATCGTGAATGTTTTTGTTACGAAAACAAACATGGACCCAAAATAAATTGTAGAAAAGCAATTTTGTCCTCGGTGGGATCCGAATCATCGACCTATTTTTTACGTTCTTTTATTCGTAGAAGCGCGCAGCGAAAATGAACCTCAGCTTGGTCCTCGTATGTGCCCCTACAATATGCACAAGACCATTTTGAAAAAGCTCACCACGCCCTCGAACGACCTCCCTTGTGAGCACACTTATTAGCTTTATTAGAACCTACTACGTCATCCATACCTCATTCTTTGTCCTGTTATTGTGATACCAGTCGGATCACCCGGCTGCCGCCGGGTGCTCCTCCTTCTGTTTCACGGCCCGGCTTGGCCGGGAAACCTGGCTCCGCCAGGCACTCCTCCCTTGAGCGAAGTATTGGGTTGGCACATAAGTAATGGCGTTTTTTTTCAATTGAAAATTTTGTTCCAAAAGTGAAATGTTTTGCAAGCAAGCTTGATATCATCTGATAGGAAACTTCTCGTAGTATAAGAATATCAAAACAGCTTCGGTTGAGGGAATAATTTTTGTGAATTTTTTAGTCGTTGAAGTTGAAAGTGAAGTCGGCGAAAATTAGCACCTTCGACAACTGCCTCTATTTACGTCTACTCGAAGTGCTAAAATCTGCTCCATACATTTGGAAAAGGTTGAGCTAGAAGTCTCAGCAAGGGAATCTCAATAGGACGCTTTGGAACTAATTTCAAGAATTTCAAAGTTGGCAACCTTCACCTCGCCGATATTGGGCAGGCTCACGTCTGTTCCACCTGAAATTTTATGCTAATAGTTGAATGTTTCGCTGATATGTTTTGCATGTTCTGATAGCAAATTTCGTGCTCTATAACACTGTGAAATCTGTTCTCCAGAGCTGTTTACTTTCTGTTAATTTCAGGTTATCATTACGGAACGTGAGGTCGATGAGAATTAGCGTTCCCGATTTCCACGAATTTTATGCTAATAGTTGAATGTTTCGCTAATGTGTTTTATATGTTCTGATAGCAAATTTCGTGCTCTATAACACTGCGGTGCAGTTATTTTGAAAATCCGTTTGATTTCCTTGTTTTTCAGGTTGGTAATATGGAATGTATGGATTTTTACCGAGAAGGCATTGAACAGCTGATCGGTGGGAGGAGGTTGTAAGAAACAATGGGGAATATATCATTGACTAGTTTATTGTAAATATCTATATTTTTATAGTGTTGTAAATACTGTGTTTGAAATTTACTAAGGAAAACAAAAAAATCGTGAGGTATGGGTCGACCGGATGTCTGCAAGGTCAACGTTGTCGGTTGTGCTTTTTTCCAGAATCAATTGTGAGCCGTCCTAATACTAATCTGTTACTCTATGCCTTACTCAAACCATGGCGATTCTATTGAGCTGCTCTAGGAGCTTTGAAGCTTCCGTGGACAGCGGTAGGGAGAGGAAGTCGGGAACGCTAATTCTCATCGACCTCACGTTCCGTAATGATAACCTGAAATTAACAGAAAGTAAACAGCTCTGGAGAACAGATTTCCATTGCAGTGTTATAGAGCACGAAATTTGCTATCAGAACATGCAAAACATATCAGACTTCTAGCTCAACTTTTCCAGATGTATGAAGCAGCTTAAGCGATTTTAGCACTTCGAGTAGACGTAAATAGAGGCAGTTGTCGAAGGTGCTAATTTTCGCCGACTTCACTTTCAACTTCAACGACTAAAAAAATTCACAAAAATTATTCCCTCAACCGAAGCTGTTTTGATATTCTTATACTACGAGAAGTTTCCTATCAGATGATATCAAGCTTGCTTGCAAAACATTTCACTTTTGAAACAAAATTTTCAATTGAAAAAACGCCATTGCTTATGTGCCAACCCAATAGAATGCACAACGTGTGCCAAATGGTGACAGCTATTCCTAAGTTGAATTAGCCCTGTTCACCAGTGTAGACGTTACCCAGGAAGAAGCACAACTGCAGAGTAGTGGGCGGCATCGAGAAGGAGAACTTTACATTGCCTTGTAATGTTATAGTGTCCCTCGTTACGGGTAGCACAGATGTTATCACCGACGGGACGCTCCCACTGCAAGTCGCTTTCCCTCCTTGTTTTGCTTCAACTGCGACCTCCAGCACCTCACACATCATCGCAAATCATATAGCAGGCATATTCCCGAAATTTTTTGAATTGATAAATTTCTCGATTTTCCCGTTTCAGCCGTGCAATATGCCCTCCTCTTCCCCCCCCTCCTCCGCTTCCCCGCTCGACACCATTGCATGCATCTAAAAGCGAACACCTTAATGGACGACCTCGATTCTGTTGACATCGAGGGAAAGTGTCCACACACTGAAGCTTCTAATACTTGGCGTAATAGTAATAAGAAACCTAGTGAAGATGTTTCTGTCTACTCTTATCAATTGATAAGTTTACTTGTCACCCGTCATCAGTGTGTACAAAGTATCTCTGTATTTGGTACTTTGAAAGCTCAACCCACCTTGTATACCGTGACGGACGCACACAGTCGCACTGTTGTCAGGCCCTAATCAGTCCCACCCTCTATATCATCCGCTGGAACCAATGTCTTGCTGACGCTGTGACCTGCGATATGAATACAGTGACCTTGCCTTTCTAACGTCAGTTATCATATATTATCTGTTGCTAACCCTTCTTGTCATCCACCATTGACGTTTATGTGCCATACCCTATCACCCCATATATATAATTCGCTTTGTCTGTTTGTTTTTGTTTGTAGTTTGTAAGTTTTGTCGGTTTGTAAGTTTGTCGGTCCGGCAAAGTTCGGTCGACCGTGAAGAACGACTTGGAGAGGTCCAGTCAAGGTGGGGATAGGTAGGGCATGGGACAAGAAATAAAAAGCACACTTGACCTATGGGAAGCCCGCCCACAGTGGGCGGGGCACTCGCCGAAAGTTTGGGGTTCCGCAGAAAAATGTTCATAATTCGGCTTTCCGGGTGTAAGAGGACAAGAAAAAGGGAATAAGGTTAGTAAGGAGTCGCCAGACTAACTGTGGCAGGTACACCCTAAATGGGCGGGGCGTACTCAAGGTGGGCGGTGCTTCTCGCAAAATTCAGTAACCCGGTTCGCGAGAGTGTTTGGAAGTCGCAAAAAACTCAGTGTAGAATGTAAATATCTGGCGAATATAGGGCACGCTCAAAGTGTGTTGAGACCCGCCCACAGTGGGCGGCTGGTGATCTTGCCGCAAAGTCGCAGGGTCTTCATTTAAAAGTTTTGTAGCTCTTCTCCAGAACACTTACTCCGAAGATACGGAAAAAAGTTGGAATATTAAGTTCAGCAGAGGGTCGTCGGTTAAGATTGTAGGGCAAAAAAATTGTGGGCGGAGCCTGCTCCGAGGTGGGCGGAGCCAGACAAAAAAGGTCTGTAAAACGGTTCCAGAATACTCCAGACACCGGAAAAAGTGATTAAAGGTC